TGTAATTGATTGCTTAACCATTTTTTAATAATGAAATAAGTAAAAACAAGTTAAGATAGAGAGAAAAATAAGACCACTAAAAGATATGTACAACTCATCATTATAGAGAAAAAAATATAGAAGTTCTTAAATATGACATTATGTCATACCACCTAAAAGAGTTCCGCCTAGTGAAAACATATTAGCTCTAAGGTATAAAAGTGTGTATAAAAATACTTCATAAGGAGGTCATTGGCTCAATTTTTGTGAAAAAAAAAACATTCCTCTAGAAGAGACTTTATTCATGCCACTCTAACTCTCAAGAGTGTGAAGCTTCCTCTTCATAGGTCAACCCACCAGAAAATGTAGTGTGTAAGACTCACCAAAAAAGTTATTTAAGTAACTTTATATGAGTATAATATTGGAGATGCAACTCTTATAAAAATTACTTATTGAAAATTACAAAATTTGATAAATCTCACATCTTATTTAATAAAAGAGTATATCAAGAATAATACATTAGAATTTTTTATTAGTAATCCTCATACTTCAATTATCATCATATTAGGATAAGCTTATCAAAATACTTTATTAGGAAGACTCGTTTATGAATTATTTTGTCTAAAATTCATATACAAATGAGAAAGCAAGTATAGTAAATTAGCGATTTTATCACTTTAAATCTATTTGGATATAAATTAAAAATGTTTTTAAGAATCTCTTTATTGAAAATAAAAATATTTTTTATAAAAAAAATCTCAAAAATACTTTTAAATTTGTATTTGAATCGACTTTTTTTAATCGCACATGGGCATGATAACATAAGCTAGTTCCATATCATGGATAATCTATTTTCACAAATAAGGTGTTTCTGTTCTCGGGCTCACATGTTGAACATTTCCCAACTTCGCGTGTTGTTTTAATGGCAGCTTTTGCACACACGTCTAGACCGTGAGAAAAATAAATCAAATGAATAAAAGATGTCAAAGAAATCAAATTCTACGCGCAAATTTAAAACTAAATTACGTACGTTAACTTTTAGATAATATTTTAATTTTAATTTAATTTATTTATAAGCACCTATAACTGTATAAAGATTTTTAATACTTTAAAAATATAATACAATACTGTCAAATTGAACTAATGCATAGAATATCCTATAGAAACTAATGCAAACTGAACCTTAAATTTCCGAATTTTAACATACTAAGAACATCATAGGAAACCGCGAGTTTGGTGGTTCTTTATGTTATCCAAAAGAAGTAAGTCAGTAACAACCAAATCCCTACTTGCATCCTCGATGTAATCACATTTTTGTTGGGTACCAGAGGGAAAATAAAAACTGCAACAGCGGAAGCACACACAACAAGAGAAACAAATTAAAGAAACAAACTCAAGAATTAACGTGGTTCAGCACTTCTTGCCTACATCCACAAACAAATTTTTACTAGCAATTTTTACAAGGACAAAATTGCAAAACCTCTCACACAAGTTTTCTGGAAAAACTTGGAAACCTTACACTTGCACACAACTACCCAAGTTCCCAATACACTCAAAGGAACCTATGTTGTTGTGGTGAGTAAACACAAACCCTCACCCTTTATTTATAGTAGTACTCTACCACTACCCTTCTTCAAACTACCCAATGTGGGACTTTGGAAGGTACCCACACACTTTGGCACAACACAAACTACTCAATGTGGGACTTTGGAGGATACCCACACACTTTGGGCACAACAATTTTGCATCCATCTCAATGGATGTAGCTTAGACTACCAAATCACTAATATATACAAAGAGAAAATATATGTTAATATTATCATTTTGCCTCCTTATGTTTCAAATTCCATGCTCCATACCAGATGAGCTAAATAAGCTTTTAGTGAAGCCGGGACACAAGCTTTTGCTAGATAAGGAATTACTTACCAATTCAAAGACAATTCATGAGTTCGATTTAATCATCAGTAATGCTATGCCAGTATCTAAGTTTAAGCAACCATATCTAATATTTTTCTTATTGGAATCAGAGTACGTAACACAAAAGGTGTCTTAAATTTAAATTAACCATATATGGTAACTTATGAATGAAAAAATATACCATCAAATTGAGAAAAAGAGGGAAAAAACACCACTTATAAGGGCTGTTTTAATAAACTTATCCATAAATACTTTTAGGTGAGAAAAATAAAAATAAAATAAAATAAAATAAATTTCTTTATAAATTAAAATTAACTTATGTAAAAGTTAATTTATCCAATTAGTTTCTTCAAAATCTTATTGCATAAGCTATTTTTTACTTATGCTTTTTAAATTTTTTATTTTATTTTTCTCTTCTAAAAATACTTTTACGGAACCTTATTCAAACATGTCCAGGTTATATCCATAATTTTTTTTTTTTTTGAGAAAAAACGCTTAAAGTTTTATCATTTGAATAAAAATATAATAAGTTACTTAAATATAAAACAACAATATATAACTCATTAAAGTAAAATAAAATACATATATAGTTAAACAATTTACATTGTTGGTTAACCATCATTCATTAGATCAATTAATCACGCCATTATTCGGTAACTTTGATGTATTATCAAGAATGTTTAGTAATTATTTACCTTAATCATGTTGTTGACAATAATTACTCTTATATTATAAATTTCAATTTTTATGTTTAAAATAAAATAACTTACTAGTTTTCTTTCTCATACAACTACACATCTTCCTATATGTGTGACACATATCTTATGGACTTCTACATAAGATCAAAATAATATTTTTTATGTAAGTAATAATTTAATAAAAAAATATTTTTTAATTATTTTAATCAATATTTACTCATTTTTCTTAAACATGTCTTTCTCTTTCTCCCTCAGTCTCTCTTCCTGTGACTAATCCTTATATTATTTACTTATCTAATAAAGAAAATATAGTATATACCCATTTGGCTTGAATATCTTCCCTTCTCTCTTCCTAGTTTGAAGATCATTGTTTGACATGAACCTTAGGTCTCACATTCAAGGTAATAATCAAATATATAATGTATTCAATAAAGTTAATATTAGGTGCACCAAAGGTATCCCACACACATTTTTACAATGATATCATATTGTCTACTTTAAATTTAAGTTTTTATGATTTTGTTTTTGATAATTTTTCAAAAATTTCCATAGTATGTATATGTTTTATAAATCTATTTGATTGCACTTCTCAATGGTTAAATATAACTATTCTTTTCAATAATGGATACATCTTAAGAAATGTATATATGGTAGTCTCTTTTATTTATTTTTTTTACTGAATTGTCCTTATTAAAAGAGTTAAAAGTAGTTGCGAATTAGTTAAGTATATAAGTGAAATATCAATAACTAAGAGATTCTATTAGATAAATAAAAATAATTTATTGATGTTTTAAAGTATAAATATTTTGAAAAGGGGCCAACATTTCCTAAAGTAGGATGAAACAGAGAGTAAGATTCAATCAAACTGTGCTATTGATGGTCTCGAGATTCCACCTATGTAGCAGAAATGCAGAATGTTTCTATCAGTACACCATCGTTTCTATTTAGTGTTACCCTTTTTCTTTCATTTCCTAATAAGTAACTGTTAAAAATCACCAAATTCAAAGCAAAATTTAAATGTTTCTAAATCCTGATTTAAAGTTTTAGATCTCAGGTTTCACAATGAGCAGTGTGGTTGATTTGAGGAAGTTGAGACATACATATCAGTCATGTGTATATAATCAGGGGCTTAATGGATAGATTCCCAACAATGGGGTCAAATGTGCTCATTAGACATTTTGTTGATTTGATTTGAGATATTACTTTTCTATTTTGTTTGAAGTCACCTAACCTCTTTTTCTGAGGCTGGTATGGTACGTCCATTCAAACTCAGCTCCAAATGCCTTTTTCTTTATTGGACATAGCGAGGCACAAGTTATAGCACTAACTACTACTTCCACTGTTTCAGATAATTGGATCTGTGAAATGTAGTCCCTTAACCTGTATTGCCTCATCAACTTGTTATGCTTGTTATGTTGCTAATTTGGCCTCACATCCTTCCACCAACATGTGCTAATTATATTTAACAATATAATGGGATTCATAATGCACGCCTTGTCCATGTTTGAGTCTAGTTTAATTAATGTCCATCAGTGTGTTTTAGTTTCAAACTCCAAAGATGTGAAGAAAATAATAGAGGAGGGGTGGCGCATAAAAGAAGTATCCAATCCAACCATTAGTGGCATCTGCAGCTTTCATTTGTGCATGCCATTCACATCCAAACACTTAGGGACAAAGGAGTTGCATAGAGATAAAGAGAGAGAGAAGAATGTTGGTATGTTTGTCCTTGTCATACATAATTGTTCAATCAAAGCATGATGACCTCCAAAGATTATTCCTCCTTCTAAGCCTTGTCTTCTTGCTATTACACTGCCCCCAATTCCTCAACTTCCCCTTCTCCCAACAAAGGGAAAAAGTTAGGAGAAGTAAATGGTCTAAAAGGAAAAGGGAAAAAATAAATAATGTGATATCCAAACAAAGCCTACCAAAAAGACTCCACCATCCCCAAAGCTGAAGAGGGGTTTTGGGACATGTTGGCAGGGCATCACTCCACTTATTATTCCTCCAAACACACCCTTCCATGTGCTACCTCCGACATTCCCTTAACCTCTTCTCATTGTCCTTTTCTGCTTTACCAATGCTTTTGCCTCTTCGTACCGAAAAAAAGGAAAGATATGCTTGTGCCTCCTTCCCCCACATACACAGGCTAAAAACTCGGTTAGATTGCCCAATCAACATCTTCTTTTTGGACTTTGCACCCTCTCTGCCGATTCTCATTCCCTTTTTTAATCATTTACAATTTCATCGTTACACTACAAGTAAAATATTTTAATATCAAGTAGATTTTCTTAACCATGCCACCACACTATATAAACACACGTACACCAATCCATGCTTCCTTAGACTTAGCCTACAACATATCATACTACTACTACTATTACTACCACGTATCACTCACTCATCATAATGGCTAGGGAAAGCCATCATCATGACCCCACTTCCTTTCACTCTTCCATTGCTCTTCTACAAGAAAGGTTTAGACAATTGCAGAGAGTAAAAGAAATGAGGGAGGAGAGGGAGCTTCAGAAGATGCTCAATGAACCTAAACAATTTAATTCCAACACCACCACCATCACTTACCACAATTCCAACAACTCAATTCTCTCTCACCCTGAATTCATCATGCCATCAAGGTCACCACCCCATGTTTCTCTCTCTCTCTGGCCTACTTCACAGACCAAAGAGGACTATAGAAGCCTTCACACCCCACTTTCAATGAACCATGCACATTCACAGTCCCTCCAGGTTTCATGGAAGAACGTTTATGATTGTGACTCTGGCGCTGATTCTGGTGTCGACACTTCCCTTCACCTGTGAAATGTGAAAGAGAGTGTGTTTGTTTGTCTAATGATGTTGCTTCAGATGGATCATGTAAAACCTTGTGATTGTGACACAACGGCCTCTCTAATCTCTGTGGTGGCTTAATTGGCACGAGTGTGTTAATTATCATCAAATCAGCTTAGCTATTTGATATCACTACCTGTTTATTGCTAGCTAGTAGTATTATGAAAAGATTCAATGATAAGGCTTGAAATAGCGTGAACATGAGAGCTTTTTGGGATATTTTGGTGAGTCGACACAGAATATCAACGAACCATCTGTTTGGTTTTCTTAATTGGTTGGTTTTAGCCTTTTAGGCTTCTGCCTTTCTGGTTTTGGTCTATAATCTATTTATAGTGTATTTTTAGCTAGCAATAGCATCAATCTTTTAAAGCTTGTCACCAATCTGCTTAATTAGTATTCGACTTTATTTTTTCCTTTAAAAAGCATCATGCAATAAATAGGATCTATAATATTTATAGTCTAACGGTAATGCGTCATACTGCGATTTTGACATGGCCCATGTAACTTTCTTTTTATAGGTAATGAGTTGTCTCAGAAAACAATGAATGAAAGAGACGACACTACTATGGTTAAGCAAATTGATAAAACAAAGTAATAAAAAATGAAAAAACAAATCCCCCTGAACAAGTAAACGGTTTTCATGCAACAAGATTAACAAAAAATACAACAATGAAGATGACTTCGAAGTTCAATGAATCCAAATTGTTTTTTTCTGTATGTTTGGATATGAGATAACCTCACAAAGTCCATGCACCTCACTTGGTATATATTATCATTTTAATCTACTTAAGTAATCAATCGTACGTGTAGAACTGTAGATATATAAAGGATGAGGTGCATCCATTCAATGCACACTAGTGGGGCTTTATGGCCGGGGGTTTTACGGCAAAAATCATATATGGATCTTTTTTACTGCTCCTAAATGAGATGGCAGAGAAATGCTACTGAGTAACAACGTAATCCTTTGAAGGCATTTTATCTTATTAGTTGAATTTTATTAGAAATTAAAAAAAAAATGCAAGTCTTATGTCCTGTGTAGTGGTCCTCTCTCATTTGTAATTTTCAACAAATTTCAATCGATATATAATGTGTGCTAGAGAGTATGTTGATCTCTTTAAACAAGATTTCAGTTCAAGTTTTATAAATGAAAAAAAACGTTGTGAGGAAAAAAGATCACATTAAGAGGGATTAGTCGGATCTCTCCACAGAGATTAGTTATAAAAAAATTAGTGAATACTTTACACTAATAATATGATTACTCAAAAAAAATATGTTATTAACATTCCTCTTATTTTAATTTAAAAATAATTTGTGCTAATTTAACAAAGTAAAATGTATGTTTAACTTTTTAACTAGAGTTCAGAAGTACTTTTACTCCTAAAATAACAAATTTCTCCTTCTTCATTTTGTGCATTGGAATATGAAAAAATACTCTCAACTTTAATCCATACATAGCCTTAAAAATCCTATGATAAGGCAATGTAAATTGTGCTATCATCACATCAACCTTCAAAACACAGCATCAAATTAAAAATGTCAACATAAACAAGTGAAAACAAACACCTTGAAATGTAGCAATGGTTTTATTTCTGTCGGATAGAGTTTGGAACAAGTATCAGGACAAATGAAATCCTTTCTGATATTCATCAGGGTTGCTTGCACCTGAAGGATGTTAACACACCTCTACACTGTGTAATGCATCTTCAATTATCATATTCAATTATTGCATCAACTCCATGGCACTTGATCATAGAGTTCAAGCAAACATTAGCCGAAACAATTTGCGCATTATTAACAAAGAAATCCCCCCTTCCACGGTTATGTATTCTAATCATTTTGGAACTATTTCCCGAGGGAACAAGGGTCCCAGTTGGGAAATGAGACAAGTCATTGAAGTAAAGAGGCATTGGAATGGCATGTTTTAGTAAAAACTCTTCCACTTCATAAATGGAAATGGATGATGCAGATAGTTCCTTATCATCTGGCATCAAGAAAGTTAAATCACGAGTTGGTTGTGATGTTCCATTCAGCATCTGCAAGAGCATTGCGAATCCGTAGTAAGACTTTGCTCTCATGTCACCTATTGCTGCTTGTAGGTCAGTGCGGTTAAAGGGGTGTGTGAAAGACTGTGATTCTGCAAAACCAAGTAGGAAAAGAAGGATGAACAAAGAGGGTAGGGCCATAGGGAGAGAAGAGAAGTGATGGATATGAAGGTAGGGACGTGCATGTGTGTGAATAAATAAGAAGACAAGGAGGAATGGTTGAGAGTGTTTGCACTTGAAAAGGGTAAAAAGCATGAGGATCTCATCACAATATTCTTTAACAGAACGTAATGGAGAGTAGGTTGTACACGAGGAAGCACTTTCTTGGAAACCATACAAAGATTACTGAGGTGTGTGCTTTTCAAAAGGTTGGGTTATACTTATAGTATAGTATAGTGTGGTATATCAACGGGGACAAATTAAGCTTTCCTTGGGCCAAATTATAAGATAAGATGTCATAAGAGAATCATGCCTTTGCCAGAAATCTATTACGAATAAACCAGTGATAATTTTATATATATATCTAAATTACATTAGAATTTGAATCTAAAATCATGTACATACTATTTCAACCTTTTCATTTTAAGTGGACCGTAGATCATAAAGTCACCATAAGTTTACTTTTGAACAAAAAATAATAACTTAGGCAAGCCGGAGATTAATTCATGTCAGTCCGTGGGCTGCAGTTTGTTTTTACCTGTTCGTAGGACCTTGATCTGGGCCACCGAGTTTTGAGGACAAAAACAACTGGCCCGTTCTATTACCACTCTTCTTTTCTTTTCATACCTCCGTTATTTTGTCTTTCAAAAACTAATTTTTGAAATATATTTTCAAAATATGAAATCTAATTTTGGAAACTTATTTAAAAAAGAACAAAAAATTATTAGTTTGAGTGATTCAACATAAATTCTTCTTAATCTGGAATGAGAGTTCAATCACTGACATAAACATGAAATCACAATTGAAAGAATCATTTTATTTATATTCATATAAGATCAATCTAATGAAAAAAAGTTATGGAGATATGCAAATCGAATTTCCCCCAAAAATATAAATTTATCTTATCGATTGGGTAGTTTTGAAACTGTGTTTGGAGTGTCGAATAGCTAAAGAGCAGGCCCCATATGTGGAGTTACAGTGGACTCTGGATTGGGCCGTGGAAAGTTAGGAATAATTGAAGTAAGATTAAAAGTGAAGTGTGAACCAATGCAAGGTACCATCCCTCGTATCTTTGACAAATGCAAGATTAAAAGTTTTTTTTTTTTCATTTTCTTTCATGCTGAGATAAAAGACATCTTATACAAATAGGAGCATAAATTCATTGCTTTTGATACAAATTTGCAGTTATAGTGTGTTCTTGTTTTAGCTCAATCCCGCTTCTGTCCCAATAAACTGAATAAAATATAATGGACTAATAATTATTATTAAAGGTATGTTTAAGTAAACTTCTTCATAAGTACTTTTAAAAAGAAATAAGAAAAAATTAAATAAAATTCTCTAAAAGTTAAAATAAATTTATTCACAAGTTGAAAATAAGATTTAAGAAAAATTAATAAGAGAAAACATTTATAAATTAGTTTATATATAAAATAACTTTATTTTATGAAAAAAAATTATATATTTTCCTCTCTTAGAAGTGTTTTTTTTTTTGTTTTGAAGAAATCTACCCAAAGTTCCAAACTTACCCTAATAGCTAATAGATATTTACTATTTGTTTTCATTTCAATATTGTTGGTTCTTTCATGTGAATTCTGTTAGTTCCATTTAGGAGTGCACAAAAATCCAAATTGATACAAATCGATCCATAACCGATCCAATCTGCATTGAAAAATCCGATCTATTTTGAAAAAAAAATTGAACCGATCCATTTTATAAAACCATTTTTACAAAATAGATCGATTCGGTTTGGTTTTTTAAAAAAATTGATTCATATATGAGTAAAAAATGGATAACCATACCGTACCGAACCGATCTAATTTAAAAAAACCGATCCATATTTTATAAAAACCAAACCAATCCACTTTATAAAAAAATAGATCGGTTAATCAATCCACTTTTATAAAACGGTTCGATTCAGTTCGGTTCAGATTTTTAAAAAAATCGAACCATGAACGGCCCTAGTTCCATCAAATAGTTTCTTTTAGCCATTTGTGCAATTGGGAATAGTTGAGTTCTTTGATCAATATCCCACTATCAACTGAGTTGATAATAAAAGATAAATTCACATATTTTTTTTGCTAAGCAAAATTGAATTAAATAAGAGGAATACAAGGGGTACTCCAACCCATATACACAACATAACCAAAGTAAGTAGTGCACCTCTAACAACAGGAGGTGTTTAATGAAAGCAACACAATAACTACATACCTTGCAAACATCAAACAATAAAAGACCTTGCACTAATAGGTGGAACAACCAAACTAGCAATCCAAAAAAAGACTATCAACTACAAAGTGAAGCCAATCAGCATTGTCAAAAGCATTGTCGGAACTAAGTTAGAATCACACACCCAGATAGCAATAATCACCAACAAAATCACTTAATAAAAATTAAGGCATACGAAAGGGGACTCGGCCCAAGAAGAAAATGAGTATGAAAAAAGAATTATCTCTTGCTTTTAACCATTTCCAAGTGCGCAGTTTTACCAATTCAAGCACATCTAAAGTAGACAGCAACTTGTCAGAAAAAATAAGAGCATTTCTTGCTAGCCAAATACTTCAAATTATAGTCAACCAGATCACAACCCATCTATACCTCATTTTGGAAGGACAGAGAGGCAGCCCAAGAAATTGATCAAAATGAGCAATGAAGCTATTGGACAGCACAAAAGTGAAGCCACACCATTCCAAGGAAAGCATCCAAACATGATATGCAAAATAGCACTCAAAGAATAGGTGTGAAGAAGTCTCCATCCTATATTGACACCATACA